CTTATTTAATGTTTTAGAATGTAGATAATGCTGGTTTACATTTATGACCTAAAACCAATTTGTTATATAAATTACGAAAAAATCAATATGTTATGGTATATAAATAAAAGATCGGATTAAAAAGTTAAATACAACCAACCAAAACAATATAAAACCATGAAAGAAGTCAAGAATGAAAATAACAAGGATATATGTGTACAGACAAAAAGAAATTTGGAAACGAGAGGTAAAAAAAATGAAAAAGCAAAATAAGATTTGACGGATCGAACAAATCATCTTCAAGTTCTACTCGGTATCATTATCAAACGCAACTGACCTTAACAAACAATTACATATTCAATGTTACAAAATTTTAATTTTTAAATATGGGCATGGAGTACATGCCCACCCTCAATCACTTCCTAGAAATTATCATTTCCACGTGTGTAAACGCTTCGCTTCAGCGTACCCGCTTCTGCTTCTACGCAAAACTAATATATATATATATATATATATATATATATATATATATATATATATATATATGCTTTTTTGTGTACAATGACACCAATAACAACAATTATTATTTTATTATGAAATGGAAATAAGTGTAAATATTTCTTATTTCCATTTAATAATATCTACATCAGAAAATTTATACTTGAATACTAATATGCTTCTTTTATTTATTTTTCCCATACTTTTGATTCTATATATTTGATATTATTTTTACTGATATTATTTCCATTTTTCAGTTCTTAACAATTATTCTCAATTTCCCTTTACTTAGCTCATTGAATCTAATAAAAATTTCTTTACCATTTTTATGTTTAATTGATATTGTCTTTTTATACATTTTCTCTAACCTAACCACTAAAGACTTAGAAAGCCCTAAAGACTAAAGAATCATGCTATATAATTAGTGAAAGCACATCTCAAAGTCTCAAAGAGAATTAAACAAACACGAAGATGTTTGAGTTCGGAGCATTATGGTCTTTCACAAGTACGACTATGGCGAGTCTTATGTTCTTATGGCCAATGTATAAACAGTTTGTGCCATACCAACTCCGAGACTACTTGGAGAACACCTTGCAGAAGTATTTAGACAAGTTTTTCGGCAATGATTCGAATTTTGTTTGCATCAGATTCCCTGAATACACAGGAGAAGGTCTAAGTAAAAGCCGCGCCTACGATGAGATACGCAACTATTTATCCTCGATATCAACTGCTAGGGCTAAGAGATTAAAGGCCAAAGAATCGAAAAACAGCAAATCGTTGGTTCTTAGTTTGGACGACAACGAGGAAGTTACAGTTGTGTTCCAAGGTGTAAAGGTGACATGGTCTTCGACTGTGGGAACTAAAGAGAATAATAACTCTTTTTCGAATGAGGGAAGATACTTGACTTTAAGTTTCGACAATCAGCATAGAGAGATGATCACAAAGACTTATCTTGATCATGTTTTGAGAGAAGGGAAAGAGATTGCGTTGAAGAACAGAGAGAGGAAGCTTTACACTAATAATTCCGGTAGTGATTTTTCCTCTTGGCGGGAAGGACGATGGAGCAACGTTCCTTTTATTCATCCAGCGACGTTCGAGACCTTGGGCATGGATCTTGATAAGAAAGAAGAGATTAAAAAGGATTTGATTAAGTTTACTAAAGGGAAAGATTATTATAGGAAGGTTGCTAAGCCATGGAAGCGTGGTTATCTCTTGTTTGGACCGCCTGGGACTGGGAAATCCACGATGATATCGGCAATAGCGAATTTCTTGGAGTATGATGTGTATGATCTTGAGTTGACGACAGTGAAAGATAACGCGGAGTTGAAGAAGTTAATGTTGGACACAAAAGGGAAGTCTATTGTTGTGATTGAAGATATTGATTGTTCGCTTGAGCTTACGGGACAAAGAAAGAAAAAGAATGAGGAAGATGAGGATGAAGAGGATGAAACGAAGAAAGAAGCTGAGAAGTTGTTGAAGAAAGAAAGGGGTGAGAAAGAGAGTAAGGTTACTTTGTCGGGGTTATTGAACGCCATTGATGGGTTATGGTCAGCTTGTAGTGATGAGAAGATCATAGTGTTCACAACAAATTATGTGGATAATCTTGATCCGGCATTGATACGTAGAGGAAGAATGGACTACCGCATTGAGATGTCTTATTGCAGATTTGAAGCTTTTAAGGTTTTGGCTAAGAACTACTTGGAGAACGAGTCACATGATTTGTATGGAGAAATCGGGAGATTGCTAGAGGAAGTCGACATCTCTCCGGCTGATGTTGCTGAGAATTTGATGCCAAAATCTGATGAAGACGATGCAGATATTTGTCTTAGGCGTTTGGTTAAGTCTTTGGAGGAAGAGAAGAAGAAAAAAGCAGAGAGTGAAGCGAGGAGGAAGAAGAAGAAAGCAGAGGGAAAAGAGAAAAGAGGAGAAACAAAACAAAGTGAAAAGACGCCAAGGAAAACGGTAAAAAAGATTTGAGTGAAAGAAACTATTGTGGTTATATTCTGCTTTGGCATGGTGTTGGATAATAATATTTAGATGCAAAAATAAGCTATAACATTATTTTATTATATAAACCTGGACTCAGTTTCATGAGAAATCGACACCATTGCATGATTTTATAATCAATGAGATATAAAGAAAAAACCATCTTCTAAAAGGTACTGTTGTTCCAAAGATATAGTGTACGTCGGAGCTAAATGGATTGAGATCACGACTAATGATGTTTAGATGTATATATATTAGAGATTGCCTCACTTAGGTTCGGATAGGAGATTGTTGTGCAACGGATGGTCCGGGTTTTGGCTCTTGCAATAGCTACATGTGAAGTAAGTTTGGTGTGCTAGCCTTCCATAACAAGCTAACGAAGTATCCTGTATCCACATGATCAGTAGGTTAGCATTATGATATCTTTCAACTACTATTTTCGAAGGTGTGTTCTTGATGTCTTTTTGAAAGATGTTTATGTGTATTGGGCCTATTGGGTCATGGTAAATATATTGTTCATTATATGTAGGCCTAGGTTAAAAGTTCTACGTTCTCTTCTTTGTAAATAAGGCAACACCTTCTATTGAATTTATTGGGCATATTGGGCCATCGTAAATATATATTGTTTATCATATGTAAATGTTGAATTCAATAGAAGAGAGAGTACAACATTTAATTTAGATATACATATAATGAACAATATATTTATAATGGCCCAATATACCCAATATTTTGATCCGCTTACGTTGTTACGTATCATTGTTGATAGATTGACATATGTGACCGTTTGAGTGGAGTGAGAGTAAAAGAAAAAAAATTGAGAAGAATTTTTATATTACTGATATATAGAAATAGAAGAAAACTTATACTAAAAATAATAATTATTCTTTGATAACAAAAAATACTTTTCCTCCAATATGGTGGAGCCAAAAGAATTATTTTTCTCCTCCTTAATATCCTTGGATGGTTTTATTAGGTGATTGGATACCAAGTTTTTCAACCTTAAAAGAAAATGTGAGTGGTAATACCTACATTTACCGACTAATTAAAAAAAAATGCAAAAACAAATTTAACTATCCAAATAATACAAAATTCGACTTAACAGTTTGGCACTAGAAAGAAGGAGCAGCGAAAGCTTTAACAAAATATTTTATACAAAATTAGACGTTGTTGAGATGCAAGACCACCAAAAGTTTGTGTAGACTTTATTAAGATAGATCCAAAAATGAGTTTAAGTGGTGTTTGAAAGAGATGTATTATTATTCGTACGTTGTCCCACAAGTCTCTGCAAAGTTGTTTTATTAGTTTACTTCTGCGTCATATCCAACGGATATTTCGGTGAAACAAGACAATACCAATATTTTTTCTTGTGATTAAAATAGTGACATTGCACTTTAACGTTGAAAATGACTATTGAGTTGTAAAAAGATAGTAGGAAAATAAAAGATGGATATATAACACTAAATATTAAAAGTAAATTTAAGGGATTATTGTTGATTTTGCCCTTTTTTATCAAAATCTTTTGAAAATGCCATTTTCATTAAAATCTTACGGATTTGCCATTTTTTTACACTTCATAATGTACGTATTTCGGATTTTTTTGGTAAAAATACGTAGTTTATACAAAATACTAAACCCTAAGAACAACCACAACCGACTAAACCCAAACATAACGAATAAAACGCATGTTAAATCATATTTCCGTAGCCTGAAAAAGGGCAAAATCTATAAACTATTCAAAAAAGGGCAAAATCCACAAATGCCATCCCAAAAAATGGCAAATCCATAATTGATTCTAAATTTAAAGACAAAAACTTTAACATCACCACTATGACCCACTCTTTATTGTTTGCTACATAATTTCTCAAAACTCGGAATCAGTTTGGTGTTGTTCACACCTAGCTCCAAAAGCTCATATATAGTATCTTCATGATTAAGCAAATAAACCAAAATCTTTCAATACTTTTAGTCAAATTCGTACCCAAGAACATGAAAACTACATGTGGAAGAACTATTAATACGAACCCAAATTTCATGATAATATATCTATTTCTTTTTATCTAAATGGCAATACAATTTCGTGGCATTTTATGGGACACTCAAAAGTTGTAACTAGAGTAGGATAAATAGAGATTTGCCCCTAAAAAGGCAAAAAAAAAAGAGAGAGAGTAGGCTAAATACAATCTTATTATCCCTATATGCTCAAAGTTGTTCTTTTATTTTTGGATTATTACTAATTTACTATATTCCAAAGTTATTTTGAAACGGATACTTTATCTAATGAGATTCTCTCAACGACTTATATATGAATTGATATTTGCTTTCCTGATTTTTTTTCCAACAAGAATTTAAGTTGTTTATTATCAACAACAAAAAAAAAGAAAAAAAAAAAGAATTTAAGTGGCTCTAACAAGTCACACGTTGGCATGAGCAAACCAACGTAAGACCTACTTTTTTTTGTAACTACTAAAGACTAAAAATCCCTAAAGAATCAAAGAACATGGATATATATATAATTAGTGAAAACACATCTCAAAGTCTCAAAGAGAATTAAACAACCACAAAGATGTTTGAAGCCGGAGCATTATTTGGTTTCACCGGCACGACCATGGCGAGTCTTATGTTCTTCTGGTCAATGTACAGACAGTTTGTGCCATACCAACTCAGAGACTACTTGGAGAAATGTTTTTACAAGATGTTCGGTTTGGTCTCAACTTCTGTTCACATCAAATTCACTGAATACACAGAAGATAAAGGTCTCAAGAAAAGCCAAGCTTATGATTTGATACGCAACTACTTATCCTCGAAATCAACGGCTCGTGCTCAGAGGTTAAAGGCTAATGAATCAAAAAACAGCAAATCTTTGGTGCTTAGTTTGGACGATCACGAGGCTGTTGAAGATGTGTTCCAAGGTGTGAAGGTGGTGTGGTCTTTGAGCGTGTGGAAGAGTGATAATCAAGCTGATTCGAGCGAGAAAAGGTACTTGACTTTGAGTTTCCATAATCGGTATAGAGAGATGATCACAACGACTTATCTTGATCATGTTTTGAGAGAAGGGAAAGAGATTGGGTTGAAGAACAGAGAGAGGAAGCTTTACACTAATAATTCAAGTCAAGATTATTCGGCTTGGAGAGAAGGAAGATGGAGCAACGTTCCTTTTGATCATCCGGCGACGTTTGAGACTTTGGCTATGGATCTTGAGAAGAAGGAAGGGATTAAGAAGGATTTGATTAAGTTTACTAAAGGAAAAGATTATTATAGGAAGGTTGGGAAGCCATGGAAACGCGGTTATCTCTTGTTTGGACCGCCCGGGACAGGGAAATCGACGATGATATCCGCAATGGCGAATTTCTTGGAGTATGATGTGTATGATCTTGAGTTGACGACTGTGAAGGATAACTCGGAGTTGAAGAAGTTAATGTTGGATACAAAAGGGAAGTCTATAGTTGTGATTGAAGATATTGATTGTTCGCTTGATCTTACGGGACAGAGAAAGAAGAAGAAGGAGGAAGATGAGGATGAAGAGGATGAAGAAAAGAAAGCTGAGAAGTTGTTGAAGAGAGAAAGAAGTGAGAGAGAGAGTAAGGTTACTTTGTCGGGGCTATTAAACGCCATTGATGGGTTGTGGTCAGCTTGTAGTGGAGAGAAGATTATTGTGTTTACAACGAATTATTTGGATAAGCTTGATCCGGCATTGATACGTAGAGGAAGAATGGACAACCATATTGAGATGTCTTATTGTAGGTTTGAAGCTTTTAAGGTTTTGGCTAAGAACTACTTGGAGATTGAGTCACATGACTTGTATGGAGAAATCGAGCGGTTGGTGGAGGAAACGGACATGTCTCCAGCTGATGTTGCTGAGAATTTGATGCCGAAATCTGATGAAGATGATGCAGATATTTGCCTTAGGCGGTTGGTTATGTCTTTGGAGGAAGAGAAGGAGAAAGCAAGGAAGTTGGCTGAGGAAGAAAAGAAGAAGAAAGAAGAGAGGGATGCAAGGAGGAAGAAGAAGAAAGCAGAGGAAGAACACAAAAAGAAGAAGGAAACAGAGGAAAACGGCGACGTTTTTCGCGATAATGGTAACCTTATTTGAGCAAAGATCTTTATCAGAAAAAGAAGAAGGAAAAAAGATTGGAGCGTAGATGTGATGAATTAATATTTGAGTCTACTCTTTCTTTAGGTTTTGTTTTGTCTAATAAATTTTAAATGCAATAAAATAAGTTTGTTGGTTCCTAAGTAATCTATATTATTAATTGGGAATCACTAAATATTAAATAACCTTATGAAGAGTAAAATATTACATGAAATGCCATTGGTTTTTGGGAGACTCACAAAAATGCCCCTTTTTCAATACCCCTTTTCAAAAATGCCCCCTTTGGCTGTCCATTTTTAAAAATACCCCTTTTTATGTACAAAATGACTAAATTACCCTTCTTTTAATAAAATATATCACAAATATATAAGGAAATATAACAAAATTAGGTCCACAAAATACAAAATATTTTTTGGCGGGAAAAGTGATCCCGCAATTTTTCCCGTCAAAACACTTGTAAAAACTTATAAAAACCTTTAAAATACCTTGTAAAATTTTCCCGTAAAATTTTTTCCCGCCAAAAAATTTTCCCGCCAAAAATTTTTTTTTGCGGGAAAAGTGATTCCGCAATTTTTTTGGCGTTAAATTTTTGGCGGGAAAATTTTTGGCGGGAAAAATTTACAAGGTATTTTAAAGGTTTTTTACAGGGTATTTATAAGGTTTTACAATGTATTTTAAAAGGTTTTACAACGTATTTATAAGGTATTTATAAGATATTATAAGATTTTACAAGCAATTATATAAGGTTTTACAAGTTATAAGGTTTTACAAGTTTTTTATAAGGTTTTACAAGTTATAAATACCTTATAAAACCTTATAAGTACCTTGTAAAACCTTTTAAAATACATTGTAAAACCTTACAAAACACTTGTAAATACTCTGTAAAACCTTTAAAAAACCTTGTAAATTTTTCCCGCCAAAAATTTTCCCGCCAAAAAAATTTCGCCAAAAAAATTGCGGAATCACTTTTCCCGCAAAAAAAATTTTTTGGCGGGAAAAATTTTTACGGGAAAATTTTACAAGGTATTTTAAAGGTTTTTTACAAGTGTTTTGGCGGGAAAATTGCGGGATCACTTTTCCCGCCAAAAAATATTTTGTATTTTGTGGACCTAATTTTGTTTCAAATAAGGGTAAAATGGTCATTAAAAAATAAAAAAGGGCAAACTTAAAAATGGACTCTCAAAGGGGGCATTTTTGAAAAGGGGTATTGAAAAAGGGGCATTTTTAACAATTTCTCTTGGTTTTTAGTGTTTTTAAATAACTTCATTAAGGGTACAATAGTAATCATAAAATTAATATATTTAAATAAAATATAGTATAATTCTTTTAAATAATTATTAATTTCCAAAAAAAGACTAATTTTCTCTCTTTTATTAATTATAAACGAAAATTTAAAATTAATTTTAAAAAAATTGTTAACCAATAAGACTTGAATTCAAAATTAAAAAGACTATTCTATGTCAAAAATAAAAAGAAAAATAATATCATTTTAATTCAAAATTAAAAACACTATCGTTTAAAAGATTTATCAATGGAAGACTTTAAGATTAAATTTAAAATTTCGTAAGAAAATTAAATACAAATATTTTAAGATTCAGTTTTGTTATAATATTTTCACAAATTTAAAAATATAAAAAAAAAATTTATTTCACAATTTCTAAAATACGATATTAGATATTAACAACTATTTATATTAATGATAAAATACACTCAAATAATAATAAATTTAAAGTAATTATCATTATAGCCTTCGCAAGTTTGATAAATATCTAACAATAGATTGTATATATTAATTTCTAAATTATTTTGCGTTTTATTTTTTGTTTTTCAACCGGATATTCCTTAAATAAATCTCTAATATATTGCACACTGTTTTCAAATAATGTAAACTAATTATATATTTTGAATTCAAAACAAATTATGCAGCAATAACATATACCTTTTAGAGATGTATCTCAAATTTTTATTTTTAGTCCAAAAATCAAATTAATTATGATTAAACAATAAAAAGAAGAATATGCAAAATTTAGCTAAGGAAAGAAACATTAATAAATTTGTTAAAATATATTTGTAACTTTAGCAGTATATATATTAATCTGCAAAACTCACAGTATGTATTGTATGGTATTTAAAAGTAAGCAAACAAACAAGAATTTGGAACATGATTTTAATGGAATGAAATGAAAATAGGAATTACGAGACGGGATGAGAGGGGAACATAAATTAAAAATCAAACTAAATACCCAATTGGTATGAGTTCAGTTTATGAGCACTATATAAAATAAATTTGTTTACATACATAACCCTGTACGTACGTTTTCAGTTACACATATTCTATTTATGCCGGATACTGGACCGTCATATTTTTATTTCACGTATACGAGATGGGTTATGGGACCAAGAATTTATGACAGATACAGAAAATAGTTACGCCTAGCTAATATACATGAAATAACCAAACTCAAACCGAATCTATATCCTATTTAACACATGTAATCAAACTATTAGAAATGTTTTGATTAGTTTAGAAAATAAAAAAGTAACATCATTTAACTTTTGCAACTAAATTATATCTTAGTTTTATCTTAAAAATAATTTCGCACATACGTGTAGGTCCGGATCTTAAAATATAACTATGCACTAACGCAACTGAATTTCGTTCATCACTCTAATTTTATAATATTTACACTATTATAAAGTTCACTAACACAACAAAATAATTTATATTTTTAAAATCTATATAACAATTTCTATAAAAATATCTCTGCACGTACATGTGAATCTAGATCTAATACACTAAAATATATATCATAGAAACAACAAAATAATCTATATTGAATTAAAATTTATTAGAACTTTTTAAAAAATATGAAACCCCGCACGTATGTGCGGGTCATGATCTAGTTGTTCTTATCATAGCTCCGTACCAATTCGCTGAATACCCATAAGACTATGTGCAATGCTAATTTATTCAACACCCTCTTTTTCATTTTATAACTTTTCACATCATTTTCTATCTCTTCCACCTAATAATTCAACATTTTTCTATTCCAAATCAAATGAAACAAGTATCTATTTATAGAAAAAAAAAATATAATGAATTATGATATAAAAAATATAAATAAATAAATTAGTTTAGTATATAATAATTGATATTAAATAGTTAAGGTGAGATTAAAAATTTCAATATCCAATAAAAAAAGAACATGTGTTATTTGTGGTCCCACCATTTTTGTTTCAACATATTGAATACTTTCAACGTAGTTAAATCCACGTAAGGTTTTTTTCATTTTCAACACCTTCATTGCAAGGATTCAACTGTTGAATTATTTATTCAACACCTCTATTGCACATAGTATAAGACGTTTTATAGTATGTTGCACCGAACGTGATCGGTAAGTGAAGAAAAGTTGACATCTTTGAAGTGTTAGCTGCTTTTCAAATGTTAGACATAAAGCAAACAACTGTCTTAAGATATAGAGGGAATTTTATTAAATGCCAGCCAGATTCTATAAAATTAAACTTATTTGATATAAATTTGAAACTCACTATAAGTAGTCCTCTTTTGTAGCCACATTTTATCATCACTACTCTCTTTTTGCATATCTTTTAAGTTTTTTTTTTTTTACGTAACAAACTCTATAAAAAAGAGAGAAAGCTTAAAATTTAATTAACCAGAAATGAAGATGCTCGTGGTTGTACAATTCTTCATAATCTCTCTTCTACTCACTTCATCATTTTTTGTACTTTCAAGCGCTGATTCGTGTAAGTGTATACTTAATCTAGTTAGTTATTTTTAGGTTATTTATCATTTGAAACTAGTTTTCAAGCGCTGATTCGTGTAAGTTTTCTGATTGTCAAAATTCTTTTTTTTTTAAAACTAGTTTTCTGAAATTTTATTTGTGATGATGATAAATGAATTAGCAGCATGCGGTGGAAAGTGCGATGTGAGATGCTCAAAGGCAGATAGACAACATGAGGAGTGCCTTAAGGACTGCAATATATGTTGCCAGAAGTGTAATTGTGTTCCTTCGGGCACTTATGGACATAAAGATGAATGTCCTTGCTACCGTGATTTGAAAAACTCTAAGGGTGAATCCAAGTGTCCTTGAACACGCTTTGAAGATCCTCATCGCGTACATAACATCTATGTTTGGTGTATGAAATAAATTCTGTGAGCTTAATGAAAAATTTGTTTATCTTTAATCCGATTCCTAAAAAAATCAAGACTATCAAGTTTTCTATTTCTCAGCTTCAATTTCACTAAAACCAACAACTTGGGATACTATGAATCATAATCCAAAACCAAAGAGGCATTTGCATCTCCTACTAGAACATAAGTCTTTTTTGAGTCGCTCTGCTTTCTTTTGTGGAGGAACCATATCAAGCTTTGATGCTCACAAGCTCATACTCGATTAGCGAAAGATTGTTATCATCCTTCACGGTGATCTCTGTGGGCTCCTCTGCAACTCTAACATGTCCCCATATATCAACTGCAAGCCTCATAGAACCTTTTTACATGTTAATCTTTGCATTGCGCAGAGTCATGACCAAGGCCGGCCCAATATAATATAATGCTTAAAGCAAAAAAATAAAATTTAAGCCCTTACAAAAACAGTCGAAAAAAAAATATTAGCAAAATTAAAGTTAGGTATTTGGTAGTCGAACTCGCGATATAGAAAGTATAATATAAAGACTTAACCACTTTGTTGCAACATTTTATACTGAAATGATGCCCCTTTATTTATTTATAGAGTTCTGCTGCCTAAATCCCTAGTTTCACGGACTTTAGCCTTGGGGCGGGCCTGGTCACGACACTGCTCTCTTTCATCAAATCCACTTATATTAATTGAATATTAGCATCAGTCACAAATATCTAAATTACATGAGAGATACCCAAATTCTGCAAACAACTAACTATTTCCACTATCTTTTTTTTTTTTTTTTGATCAAACTAGACTATTTCCACAATCTATATGACTATATTCATATGTTGAAGTGAAGTAAACCACTATCTTTGTGTTGACAACTTTGACATTCAGCGAGTAACCATTGGTTGCTGGTCTCAGCTCATTAACCTTGGTGAACACAGGGCTTCCTCAAAGCAGGCGTTGCCTCAGC